AATTAATGTCATATCATTTCACAGACTTTTCTCAGATATGTAGTGTATAGCCTTGTGTCTCTTGCTTTTCCTCAAAAACCTTCTCTTAAGGAGTATGTACAAAATCAAAGATGGTGTTTCTGGAATTAGCCGAATTACAAAATATTATATGTCTATTAAGTGTAATAAATACTATTGTAAAGTATTTTACCAGTGGTTTACTTACTTTGTAAGTTAAAGTTAAAAACGTGAGAAATCTTAAAGGTTTTTCTCACCAGAATTAAACATTTGCACTGTAATTGACGCGATTTAAACTGTGGAGAGGTCAAAATACATTTAACAACTCAAAAATAAATACAGGAGTAAATGTAATTACTTTCTTCCACTCTTGATAATATTTTAACTGCTGTGTCCCAGGTTGCATTTCCCTGCTGGGGATGGAGGGGGGAGCAATCGTGGAGTCCCAGATTTCATCTTCCTCTGTGCACTATGGCATTCTGGGTCTTCAGCGTTGGGGCCCCGAGTTGGCCCGACTCAACAACCAAGGCATCGTCAATGCCTGGACGTCAGCCTCCCATGACAGGAACCCCTGGATAGAGGTGAGACAAGCGGACACCTTTAAAATCATGATGCTGACCCAGTGAGAGCTGCGACTGACACTTTACCTCCAACAGATTAATATGCAGAAGAAGATGCGTCTGACGGGCATCATCACGCAGGGTGCCAGTCGCATGGGCACGGCTGAGTACATCAAGGCCTTCAAGGTGGCGAGCAGCTTCGATGGAAACGCTTACACTACTTACAGAGCGGATGGCCAACGGAGGGACAAGGTTAGAGTTTCATTTCAGCTTTTACATCATTTTAAACAGTATATTCCACAACAAGCATCTCTTTCTTCAGCTTACACCTAATTTGCTGTGTCCGTGTGCTGCAGGTTTTCGTAGGCAACACAGACAACGACAGCACAAAGACCAACTTTTTTGACCCTCCTATCGTGGCCCAGTACATCCGCATCATCCCTGTGATTTGCCGCAAAGCCTGCACGCTGCGCATGGAGCTGGTGGGCTGTGAACTTAATGGTAAACACACAAAAAATATTCTATTTTAACACACAAAGCAAGTTCAGAAAGTTGGCAGATAATATAGTGGATTAAAAAAAACACATTCTGAACTATGTTGGACAGAATAAGTTCAAGTCAAGTCATAGCCTCTGTGAACTTTGTATTCATAATATCCCCTGAAGCTAGAAAAAGTACAAGAAGTCTCTTTTGTTGAACTTGTTTTACTGTGTTGGTTTCTTCTTGCTGTGGTTTCACTGACACAACATAATGATAGTTTATTTCAACTATATAACATGGCGTCCATCTCGCCGTGGTTGGATAGAAAATTTATAGTATGAACAGTATTCGGGCGGTAGACCTAACTATCCAACAATAAGAACAGCAATTCCAGGAACATATGTTTGGGTTTTTTTCCCACCCTAATCCTTTTGTTTCTTGTCTTCTTTGAACATAACAGCTAAAACATTTATAGAGAAATATGTTGAATGTACACACACTGCTTATGTAGCTCTATGCACTTTATTGCATGCATTCTTCTACTCTGTGCCTCTTTCTGTTTCTTCCACTTGTCATTGTTGGCTGTAAAAAGATTTTAATCACACAGATTCTTCTGAATATTACACATTTTCTCCAAATGGATGAAGGGTGAAGTTAATTTGTCTTTTCTTTGGGTGTACTCATTTATTTCCTCTCTTTCTCTTTCTGTCGCTTTGGTTTGCCCTCCCTCCGTCTTTCCGTCTGCTTTTGATTCACAGTTTATTCAAACACGGCAGGTTGCTCAGAGCCTCTGGGAATGAAGTCTCGCCTCATCTCAGACGGGCAGCTTACAGCCTCTAGCTCTTACCGCACGTGGGGCATCGACACTTTCACGTGGCACCCTCAGTTTGCCCGACTGGATAAGCAGGGAAAGACCAACGCCTGGTCTCCTGCCCACAACAACCGCTCAGAGTGGTTCCAGGTGGGGGAAAGCTCAGCGGCAAAATGTCATTAATGGTAAAAATGCTCTTTGAGGCCAGAAGAATATAACTGTTGTCTTTGTTCACCAGGTCGATCTGGAGAAGACAAAGCGCCTCACAGGCATCATCACTCAGGGGGCCAAGGACTTTGGGGTGGTGCAGTTTGTGTCAGTGTTTAAAGTTGCTTACAGTAACGATGGACAGTCATGGAGTGTGGTGAAGGAGGAGAACACCGGCAATGATAAGGTCAGACATATGTGAATCCCTAAAATGTATTTCCCTAATACAGTATATTTTATTCTCTTTTCAATATGGAGTTTCTTAGAAGTCTTAGAATTGAACACCTCTAAAGTCACACATATTGTCAGCTCCACTTTCTGTTTTCCTCTTTCCCTTTATGATGAGATATATTTTTGGCTCTTGCTGGAGGAGTGGAAGGCCCAATTCTCCTCGTCATAGCCTCTTTCTCTGAGAGGATCCAATAAAACTGTAAATTAAGCTTTGATGTTTTTACTGAGCACAGAGCTCGTAGGCTCATGACACAGCAACGCTGCCCGGGGCTGTTGTCTGAATGCTCTGAACGTCTGGGTGGGGCTGTCAGGAAGGCAGCACAGCTCAGTTTGAGTAACAACCCTTGATGAGAAGTGGTCAGTAGGACATTTGGTGGATGTATTCACCGACAGTGTCCATTACGACACCATGAAATTGTTGAGCTTGGTTGGGCCCAGTGGAAAATAAAGTTATGTTTAATATGCCCTCCTCCCTCATTCTTAGACGGTTTGCTTTATATACAATAACTTTGCTTATTATTTCACTTTAACCGTAACCTCAACATTTATTTGCAGCTTTTCGAAGGCAACATTGACAACAACACCCACAAGAAGAATGTATTTGAGCCTCCGTTCTACGCCCGATATGTCCGGGTCGTCCCCTGGGAGTGGCACGAGCGCATCACTCTACGCATGGAGCTGCTGGGCTGCGATGACTAGAAACTCATCAGTCACCATCTAACAGTGCTCCATCCTCATCCAGTCGCTCCATCTCCTCAAACCACAGCAGGGGAGAGGATCTTGGACAGAGTCATCTGTTCTGTACTCCATTTGTTTCTCTGGATAAAGCTCCCGTTGGCTGCTGGGACTGTAACACTCGTAGCACCTTCTGACTAGTGACTTTTTCATGTTCATGTTAATAGAATTGTTTGACTTTGCTCACACAGAATCTTCTATGAAGTATCCATGTTTTTAATTTTTAATAGCTTCAGATATAAACAACATTTGCATAGATTAGCTGCTCAGGTTTTCAGGTTCTTTTAAGTCTGGAGATTTGATATAGCGCTCTTCGCTTCTTCCAGTTGTGCTCCAAGCTAAATAACCTGTTTTAAACTGTTTTCTGTCCTTCCTTTGCAATCACACACCAGTTAACTTTTATTTTTTTTGTAGCTGTAACAGTCTGTAGAGGACACCTCTGCACATCGCCCAACTGCTGTTTTGTTACTCAAAGCACAAAATAGTATGATAACACAGTAAATAGAGTATATTGTGGCATTTCCAGCTATCCTGAAAGAGATAATGTGTCCAAGAATATAAATTTAAAACTTAAAATGATGGAATTACAAATTGCAGGGCTTTTTGTTGTCATTTTTTACACGTTTTAGCAGGTTTTTCCGCTCCATCCTTACATATAATTTCATTTTAATTTAATCATTTTTACAACAAATGTGAAATATTTAGGACAATGTGTAGAAAATAAACATTGTTTTACATTTTTTTGTATTCATTGTCGGTCTTTTAATTAAGATCATTTATTAAATGTTAAAACAAATCTTTGTATGTGTTTCTTTTCAATTAAGACACATGAAACATGTCTTTCTCATGTTTTAGCTGTTATAAATGAATGTCACCAGTTACATAACAGTTTATTTCCCACTGCTGGCCATAGAGTCCCATCTGGTTGGACAATGTCCGTGTCAGAGTGGGTGTTGGTGGCTGATTTCTGCATGAACAGACTGGTCAGCGAGGCCACATACAGGGGACACAAAGGGAGTGCTTAAAAAACGCTTCCACTCTCCATTTTAGGGGGCATCTCTGCATTGTTCAGACACTGCTATAATACCAAAAGAAATCTCCTTTTGTAACACATTGCTGCACAAAGCTGAGAAAGGGAGATACAGTAGGAGGGCATTTGACATGAAGCTCTCAGATAAAACAATGAAATTCAAGCACTGTGAAGAAGAACCTGCTGTACAAACTGTCCCAACCACACAAAGATGTTGAGTCTTCTGCACGCTGGACTACTGGCCTGCTGTTAACAAGAGTAATTACACCCTGTTAGCCACTCATCTCCCTGCGAAGCTCACAGTCTTGGTATGTTTGGCCCCTGGCAACAGCTTTCATCTCTATGAAATGAATGTGGTGGAGGACGGAGCATCTCTAACACATCTGTCCACGCCGTGTACGTCCATGCCTACTGTATATGGATGTTTTCCACAACAGCAGGGTTTGCTATAAAAGATCACAGTGCTCCCGGGAAAAATACAGCTGCCAGCTGGAGTCGATGTGGGGACCCTCTGCAACAAACATCTGCTTTCAGAGAGTTTAGGAGGGATGCAAAGCAGTTTTCTCAACAAACAGCTGCACAACATGAGCCTATTTGTTATGGTTGGTCCTACTGTGATAAAAAAATAGTGATTCTGTAACTTGTGTTTGTGGGAACAGGACCAAAACAACTGCCCTGTGCTTTAAGACAATAATTCACATAAATAAAGGCTGTTTAGATTTAGCAGTCTAAACTGTATGAGAAAAAAAAGATCAGTGGTTTGGTAAAGTAGAATAAATCACCTGGTGGTGAGTTTGAGATTCAAATGAACAATTAGTCAAATATGTTGCCTTTTAAATCTTTGCATTTTCAGAGAACATCCACAATAGACTGTTAAAGATGAAACAAAAACAATCATTGATTTCATTTTTAATTTGCACGTCTATTTGAGCTATAAGTGTAGAATATTGGTGAATGAAATTAGGGAACTTCTCCACACCTGGCATCCCTGTCCTCCCTCCACTCACTGCTGGCAGAATCACACAAAGGTGAGTCTCCAGCCTGAGTTGGTCCAGTTGCAGCAGCAGAGGAGCATTATAGACCTGCTTCTCTTCAACGAAAAGTTAGAATACAGTTATTATTATTTACTGGCCGTAATTGCACCTGTTTTATCGTCGATAAAGATTGGAGGAGACTGAATTGTTTCCTTTTGTTTTTGGACTAGAAACCCACTGTGTGCATCAGAGCTTCTGCGTCCTCTCTGGAGACACTGATTTGTTTCCAACAGACTTCTGACCTCAGTGCATCTTTTTCGTTTGCTCCACAGCATCAAAGCTTTCTTTGGGAAGGGATTTAAACCACGCAAACGGAATATCAAGGTGTTTTGCGGTAAGTGATGAAAATAAATGACTGCGCGTCTTTAGGACCCTTCTGAAATTTGCGAATTTTAAATCTATCTGACCTTTTGCATTTCGACCTTTTTAAGTCTTTTGTTCTCACCTGGCGTCCAGGTGGGTTATGTTCTTAAATTTACAACAATGGGTTGTTGATACAGGGTATCACAGGTTGATAATAGCCAAGGATAAAAAGGTGAAAATGCCCTTAACTGCAGTGGTTATAACTAATCTGCAGTGTAGAAAAGAAATCCACTGAAAACTATAATGCATGTTGTTATGTCGTTGAAATTGAAGTTACAGTTTTGTGGTACCACAATGCAGAAACTTTATTTTTTACTGACTTTTAAATCGTACTTTTAAGTTATCGAAGTCACACCATTACATTCTCATAGCAGATAGACAGAGCGAATTAACATGGTGCTGCCCTCTACTGGCAATGTCCTGTCACACCAGGTTGTGCGTAAATTGAAAACTACTGAAAATACTTAACATACAAAAGTTATTATCTCACTGGCCTTTTGTGGAACTCTAACAGGTTAATCAGATTTCTCTCCACAGGCTTTAGGATTGCACAGAGACCACGAAGGATCAGGATTTGTCGTTGCAGCCAGGATGATGATTTATTGCACCCAAACTCTGCTGTTGCTGTTGTCTCATGTGGTTCTGTCAGGCCGGGCCCTGACTGTCCCCACAATCCCTGACAGCTTCTTCTACCACGACTTCCTAAATGGAAATGGCAACAAAGAAAGTAAAATTAAATTTATGTGTATGTTAGATCTTAACCGGGTTTCAGTCCATATTTTGTATATGTATGTGTTCTGTTAGTCCATATTTTTAAGCACCATTCATAGATGTATTGTCAATATTTGCTACAGTTCATTTCAGTGGTGTGAAGCTGCATGTGGACTCTGCTCAGCCATCAGTGTTTGCGGTCAGAGGGGGTAACGCCACCATGCCGTGCAGGTTTTGGCACGAGCCTGAGTTGAGCTCACCAAGGGAGGTCCGTGTCAAGTGGTCTTGGCTGCCTGTTGCTGGGGGAGAGGAGATAGACGTGCTGGTGGTTATTGGCTCCCGCAGTCGAAGTTTTGGGGAGTTCAGGTTGTTCAAAGGGCAAATAATTCATTCATGATTATTCTTTGGTGTTATTAGTGACTGTATGAGTCTATTTGTGTATGTATTAACTCACAGTATGACTCTGGTTGTCTGTTGGTCAGAGGTCGTGTGCAGCTCAGACAGGATTTCCCAGGAGATGCCGCACTTGTGATGACTAAACTCCAGCTGAATGATACAGGCCATTACCGCTGCGAGGTGGTGGACAGACTGGAGGACGAGAGCTCTTCAGTTAATCTGGAGTTACGAGGTACATTATGTCCACCTACACTGATTCTCAGAGTCAATGTGAGTCCAAATATTACAGAGAGCCTGCTTTTTTCCTATCAGAGATCCATTTCTAGAAACTGATTAAACTGATGTTTTAAACTTAATGCACTGAAGATAAAGACCAGCTGAGATTCATTTGAGTCTTCTTTAAAATTGCATTTTACCTGTTGAGTTTTTATATTTATTTTCTTGCATTTATCTATTCGATTGTTGTTAATTTCTTGGTGAACTAGGATACACTTGTATAAATGAGTACTGTATGTACGATACACTTAAAGGTAATTCCTGGAAATAAATGCGTTAGTTATAGTTGAATTTAATTAATTGTAATAGGCCTTGTATCTGTACTAGGGCTATTACTACCTCTCCTACAACTATCAAAAACTATAATTAGTATAATTGTTGTAAATATTAATATTCAAAAGCACTTAAGAGACTTTGAAGCCCACATACTTTGTTTAATAGTACATCAGCTGTCTAATTAATTCCTCCACCCAGGTGTGGTGTTTCCCTACCAGCACCCTCATGGTCAGTACCACCTGAGCTTCCTGGGAGCCAAGCAGGTCTGCGAGGAGCAGGACTCCACAATGGCCACCTTCACGCAGCTGTTTCAGGCCTGGAAGGAGGGTCTGAACTGGTGCAATGCAGGCTGGCTGGCTGACGGGACAGTCCAGTACCCCATCACCCGGCCCAGGATGCCCTGCGGGGGGCACGGCCTCGCCCCAGGTGTCCGGAGTTACGGCAAACGGCACCCGCACCTTCATCGCTATGATGTCTTCTGCTTCTCGTCTTCCCTCCAAGGTGATGCAGTATTTTAGGAATTGTAAGGTGGTGTGAGAGCTGCTATGTCACAGGTTAACAGCAGAGAGTTTGACTTGTCATTGAAGGAAAAGTATATATATAATATTATATTTTGAAAATTAACAATATATATTTAAGGGCCCCAGTAAGACATAACAGTGTGATAGTGAGCCAGCAAGCACAATACCAGGAGCTGGAAACCAAAGCAGCTGAATGGAATTCAGCCATCAGTAATGTTATTATTTACACGTGTGCTTTTCCTAGTTTGACATGTCAAAATGTCCTCTGTGGAATATCCTTAAATATCCATTCCCTCTCTTTGGTATCGATCAGTGAATAGAATCTCCGCACTGCTTTGAAACTTTCTTCTTGTAGTTCTCTGCCTCTGTCGCCTCTCATTAAAAGGCCCTGTCACTGTAAATAGCATGCAGCAGCCAACATGAAGCTTCATTAAGCCTGCATTGACCTTGCTAAACAGTGTACAACATTATATTGCAATGTTAATTAACTATGACCTCTAATGTAAAGAAATGTAATTAGTAATTCACAGTATAATCACTGGAAACTTTCCTAAATTTTATGCACATTACCAGGGCTCTAAAAATATATCCTCCATGCTTTCTTCATTTTAGTGCCTTTAGACTGATTTGAACCTTTACAGCTCATTTATAGAAAATGTCAGATACATTTTGCTGTATATTTAAAGTTTTTGCACCCAAAGACTGATGAAGTTTGCCCCAGTTCTCATGCATGTTCATGTTTCCTAGCAAGGATTTTCCACCTTACAACCTAAACAAGACAGCATTTCAATAAATCTAGTAAGATAATTGATAACAGGATAATGGGATAAAGATTGAATACCCATAACCAAATATTCTTCACTTGAATATTATCTCTTCATGTGCATCTCAGTGTAGACAAGTAAAAGTAAATAAACAGCATAAAAATGTATGCATTTTCCCTAGTCCCTAGTTAAATTGAATCAAAATGTTTAAGATCTGATCTAAGCTGTGGAAAGTTTTCTAACTATCACAATAAATGTGTTTCCTTAAAAGGTAAAGTCTTTTATCTTCAGCCCTCTGACAAGATGACCCTGACTGAGGCTCAGCAGGCGTGTCAGGAGTACGGAGCAGAGATCGCCAAAGTCGGGCAGCTCTACGCCGCCTGGAAATTCGCAGGGCTGGACCACTGCGACGCTGGCTGGCTGGCTGACGGAAGCGTCCGGTACGCCATCACCAGGCCACGAAGAAACTGTGGTCCCTCTGAGCCCGGAGTGCGCAGCTTTGGCTTCCCACCTCCCCAGCACAAGCATGGAGTCTACTGCTACGAGTCAGATGATGAATGACTGTAGATCGCCCTCTTCAAATGTAAAGTTGACACTGATTTCTTAAAAGAATATATATCCTTATGACCAAGAGAGACACAGTCCTATTTTATACTTGTTGTGAGGTATCATTTTACATCTTCATGCCTCTAAAAATGATTCAAATAACAGAGAAAACAGTTAGCTTGGTTATAGACAGTGTTGATGGGTCACAAGTAGACATTGGTTCATTTTGATTTTTCTGTTTGACGCTACTGGATAGAGTGAAAGTGAAGATAGTGGTAGGAAACACGAGCAGAGAGAGGTATGTAAGTTCTCCAGCCACAAATCAAACCAGGTATGTTGTGGTTATCTGGTATATGCTTTAACCGCTAGGCCACCAGGACGCCCTGACATTGCTTCATTTAAAGTGAGAGTTATAAGCCAAAAAGATCGGAAACCACTGACTAGTGTAAACCCTTTTTTTTATTACTATTATGTTTACATCTCAATATATTTTTTATCCGTACATTCTTTCTGTTAATTTCTTTTGTACATGAGAGCAAAGCATTTACAAAGATGTTGTCTCTCCCTTTATGATATAAGCTATTAAAATTAAGATTTTTAATTTTACTTGGAATTCTATGAGCTGATGAAGACCATGACTTCTATGTGGAATTTAAGTTGTGATTAATTACTTTGTTACTGACAGTTCTGCTGTATAACCATGTACCTCTGGTGATTTTCACATTATAGAAGGTGTTGGGTGATTTTGCAGCTTATTTTTATATAACAAATGCCTTTTCTAACCATTAAAATCCTTGCACAGAAGTACTGTCTCTTGTCTCTCCACACAGAAACAGTACACACACAAACCGGCTGTGAAAGAAAAACAAATCTGCATTTATGAAAATACAAAACATTTTTTGCATGTTGCAAATCAGATAAAGCACTTTTAGCTCCATCTTGTGTCTTAATTACTTTATAACCTTGTTGATTTTTAAGCTCTGCGTTAAATTATTCATTTTGTTCCGGCAATGGTCGATTTTACAATGTATGGGTTTTCTTTTTAGGCTAATTTACGCTTGTATTTGCCATTTTATGTCATTTTGCACTTACACATCGCCATATCTCATAGAGAATTAACTTTTCACTCTATGCATTTATTTGATAACTATAGTACTTTTCAGATTAACCTTTTACAAAACACATGATCAGGTTATATAATACAACAAAAGTTATTCAAATAAGCTCCACCTCATCCAGCTGCAACATTAATACACTGCTCCCATGTAATAATTATACAACATTATAATCCTATAATAACACTGAATAACTGCATAATGACAAAGTATATTTCCTCTTGCATTAGAAAAGTATGCAGTTAAAAGTACCAAAAAGCAAATACAACAATGGCTCAGCGTCATAGAGAAGAAAGTCTATTAAGTTTGTAGTAGTCAAAAAATGTAAATACGTAATACAGACAGAGAATTGTATAAAAGGTTCCTAAATATCAGGAAAACTAATCTCTGATTCAATAATAACAGGAAATAATCTGTTAAAAACTCATCCAAAACCCTCGTTTTACACAGTTTATCAGTTGTTCTCTACTGTTATTGTTATGCATTGAATATGAAAAATCCATAAAATATGTCACTCTGTCAGGACTCATCGGTTGATATATGATAAAGAGGCCCTTTAAGGAAAAAGGTTGACATCCCCAATCTCAGTCAAATCAGCCAGTTTATGCTCTCTCAGCAGACATTAAGTGCATGTAAATCATTGCGTCACGGGAGTGAACAATAATGGTGATTCAAAGAAAAGGTCTCCTGCACCAAATGTTTTAATTGCATGAAAAACACGATTAGGCCTCTGTGTTATGCTTTCAGTACCAAGAATCTCTAAGTCACATTTTAAAGATAATAGTATTGTCATTATATCACATGGTTGTCAAATGAGAAGAGTGTGCGGCAGAAAGTCCATCTGGCTTCTTAAAAGCTAATATCAACACATTGTCATAGAGTCAGTAGACGTATGTTTATACCCTCGAAGCATTATTGCAGATTTAATACATGTATATGAAAGCTTTTATAGAGCAGTGCACTTCAACAAATTCAAGAAAATCTCAGTTTCAGGCTGTTAATGGGTCACAAGTAGACATTGGTTCATTTTGATTTTTCTGTTTGACGCTACTGGATGGAGTGACAGTGAAGATAGTGGTAGGAAACACAAGCAGAGAGAGGTATGAAGGGTTCTCCAGCCACAAATCAAACCAGGTATGTTGTGGTTATCTGGTATATGCTTTAACCGCTAGGCCACCAGGACGCCCTGACATTGCTTCATTTAAAGTGAGAGTTATAAGCCAAAAAGATCGGAAACCACTGACTAGTGTTAACCCTTTTTTATTACTATTATGTTTACATCTCGATATATTTTTTATCCATACATTCTTTCTGTTAATTTCTTTTGTACATGAGAGCAAAGCATTTACAAAGATGTTGTCTCTCCCTTTATGATATAAGCTATTAAAGTTAAAATATCTCATTATACTTGGAATTCTATGAGCTGATGAAGACCATGACTTCTATGTGGAATTTAAGTTGTGATTAATTACTTTGTTACTGACAGTTCTGCTGTATAACCATGTACCTCTGGTGATTTTCACATTATAGAAGGTGTTTTTTATATAACAAATGCCTTTTCTAACCATTAAAATCCTTGCACAGAAGTACTGTCTCTTGTCTCTCCACACAGAAACAGTACACACTCATACCGGCTGTGAAAGAAAAACAAATCTGCATTTAGAACTGAAAATACAAAACATGGCTGGAGGCCAGTTGATACAGTAGCTTTATTTGAATAATAAAAAAAACCTCACAATATATTTTAGGCTTTACAAAACAGCAGCTTTTGTCTATTGAAGAAACACAGTCACATATAGTGATGTGCAGCTGTGAGACAATCTGTCTGAGGTAGACTGAACAATTTTCACTGCATAAATCTTTGCTTATTCATTATTAACCATACAGTACATATATCTCTTACAGTGTCAAACATATAGGTGTTAACATAAGGTGGCATTTTAATTTAAACATTCATTCATTTCATTTATTACTGTTTACAACTACTCGTTGTAGTAATTAGTATTTTGGGGGGCTTTTGTATTGCCTTCTATTACAGTGACAGCTGAAGACAGACAGGAAAGGGGGGCAGAGAGAGGAGATGACACGCAGCAGACGGCTGCAGGTCGGATTCGAACCCTGGGCCGCTGCAGCAATTAATATTTTAAAATCAATATGAGGGGAAGCGCAGTCAAGTCATGTAGAATATTTGTTGAAACAGCTGAGCAAGCAGTAAAAATGCTTCAGCAGAGCTTGTAAACAATCTAGTTCTTCACCTCCAGTGAAGATACAGTGAGCTAGCACGAAGTGGTGTTGAAAACTATCTGACGTTTATTCACGAATAAAGCCAAAATAATGAAACTCGGCAATTCTTTCAATGAAACATTTAATAAACAGTAATCATAGTCTCGTTATGATAGTGTGTGTATGTGTGTAAACCCTTCCCTAGTCAAACTCGGCTTCGAAGAGAAGTCTCTCGATTTTCATCCTGACGTCTGCCTTCTTCTGAGGGGACAACTTTTTAAACATTTTCACAAGGTTCATGAAATAGTATTCATCGCAGTCTTGTGGTTTTTCAATGTTTGTCTGTACAGTTCGGTCACATTTAGAAGCATCTGCTGGCTCCGTGCTCCTCTTCATCTTATCGCCAGTGTCACATTTCTTTGACTTGGAGATGACGGGAGACACTGACTGTCTGCTGCTCGTTCCTTGGATGTCTTGGTCGTCTGAATCCGGGATGATTGTTATGACGTCACTGTCACTGTCGCTCTCCTGTGAGGTCAACAACAACAAACAACAAAATAAAATCTCTGAGGGTCTATGACAGGTCTTATAACACAACCAATCAGAGTGAATCAGCTATTAGTTGTACACTGCACAATTTGCGATTGGTAAGTCCAAAAGGTGCCCAAATCTGAAAACTAATGTTCGTCTGAGCGTTTGTGCACATCTGTTGGACTTTTTTTCAGTTCTTCATTCATTTTATTTAAATTAGGGTCACATTGTACATATTCTTTTTTTTTTTTTTTGTATATATTGTATTCGTCTCTCTTTGTTGTCTCTATTTCATTTTTATTTACAGTTACATCCTCCAAAGATCCTACAAACTGGTTGTGAAGTCAACAGGTGCAACAGTTAGTAGTCAACCTCTAGCTGCCATGCAGTAATTAAAATAAAAAAATATGTTGTTGATGGTAAAAATGGACATAGGAAGCTCTGTTCATTCATGCAGAAGAAAAATAGGACCTAAATTCAAAACTTAAAATCACCCAGCAGAAGACGAATCCCTGAAGGAGCAACTACCTTTTCATTTGAGTGTCTTAATTAACTGCAACATGATTAACTCAAATGTGTAGACGGAGACAATGCACACAGCCGTGCCCTCACAGCCTTACTATGTCATATGAAAGAATGTGACCCTCTCCAGGGGTCAGCGATGGAGTAATCAATCCTTCACTTTGCACTCTTTTTGCCACAGCTGTCTGTAGGTTGGATAATTTTTGGGTTCTCTGCTCTTGAATCCGACGGCAGAAAGGCAGATGATTGGTGAAATCTCTTTTCCTCATCAGCGTGGCTGTGCAGTACAAACAGTGGTAATGCTTCTGTTTTCTGCACCGCAGTCCGCATCTGTGAATTGTGTACTCTGAAATATAACACATTCAATTTATGAATGATTCGTAAGGAGTCATTTTGCTGACACTGTCAACTAATTACAAAAAGGTTAAAAACCTTTACCTCCAACAAAAATCGCTGTCCGTAGATGATTTTTCAAATGAAGCAGAGCTCTGGAGTGTTTTGAGGGTTTGAAAAAAGCCGGGACACAAAATGGACAATGAAATCTGCTTGGAGTGCAGCAATTGTGGCATTTTTGCAGAGGAGGCCTGGACAACCCCTTCTGGATGGATACATGATCCTGGAATAAATAACAAAGTAAACAGTATGGCTACTTAGAAAAGAGTCTTGTTGTCAGCTCTTGATATTCTATGTTATGCAGCTCAACCAGGACTGTGCTGAAGGACATTTATTTTATTGAACATACCCCAATGCAAAGACAAACCAACACCCCATGTGTTTTTTGGTTTGCATCTTCAGGTTTAATGCTGATTTATGTCCCCATTTGTCTGCCAGCCTTGCTGACGTTTACTGCTGCTCTGTTGTGATGTTAATAGTGGATAAATGCTTCCCTTTGACTTTACTTAAGTTAGTTAGAAGTGAAGTTAAGAGGACACATCCTTATGTTTAGCGGTCGTTAGCTGAACAACTGGCTAACAGCTTTTTGGGGGGAAGTGAAGAACTTCTCTGAGGTTTTAAGTCAACTACATGGCAATGGGTCACATATGAGTGAGTTGTTAGGATTATAAAAAGTGAATGAACACAGTCGTTCGTGTATTTGCTTACTTGTAGCTGTTGATCGTTGTCCATTGTTCACAAAGAAACTTTCTGCTGTGGATGTTTTTTTTTTTCTTTAGGGGGCTTTTAATTGTTTTGTTTTTCTTCTTCTTCTTCCCCGTTTTCTCGCGTCTCCCACTAACTTCTTGTTCTTCTTCTACAGTTTAATTTAGCGGTTGGCAAGCCAGCTTAAAGGCGCATCACCGCCGCCTACTGGACAAGAAGGAAAACATCTACATTGTTTCTTTAGGTGACTTTATGTTCAACAAATATTGAAAACCTTATTATTGTACGTTTATACAATAACTGAAAGATTTACAA